TTTAAAATGAGGGTTAACAATTCCCATGTAGAAAATAGAGGAAATTTAATACAGCTGTCTCCCACTATAAGATGTAACTTCAAATTTCAAAATTTAAAAAAAGTGGGATATTAATGAACTTGTCTGCCACTAATTAATGTTGAACTCTTTTCTTTAGGTCTTTTGGTTTTTCGATAAATATGGAAAAAAACATTAAATGTTTTTGAAAATGAGTGTTAACAATTCCCATGTAGAAAATAGTTAAAATTTAATACAGTTGTCTCCCACTAAAAGATTTTAAATTCTTTTCCCACCTATATCAACTTTAAATTTTAAATTTAAAAAAGAAGTGTGAATAAAAAGTGAATATTAAAAGAGAGAGCCATGTATGATCCTATTTATACACGCAATTAAAGGCTTTCTTAAGAAAAAATATATAATAATACACTTTCCATTTCCAATAATACACTTTCCAATTCCAATGTAGAAAGTAATGGGATTTTAAATGATGTATCTGCCCCCAAAAAATGTTCAACTGTTTTCCCATTCCCACTATATCAAATTTAAAATTCAAATTTTAAAAAGTAGTAGGATATTAATATAAATATCTGCCAACAATTAATGCTGAACTCATTTCTCACCTAATAAGTTTAAATTTTGAATTGTGCAAATTTACTAAAGCAAGAAAGATTTTAAATGTTTTCTAGTGAGAACACAAACTTGAAATTGAAGGAGAGAGCGACACATCAGCAAACTTGCCAAAGAATGACACTCCCTTTTAATATATCCAATAATACACTTTCCAATTCCAATGTAGAAAGTAATGGGATTTTAAATGATGTATCTGCCCCCAAAAAATGTTCAACTGTTTTCCCATTCCCACTATATCAAATTTAAAATTCAAATTTTAAAAAAGTAGTAGGATATTAATATAAATATCTGCCAACAATTAATGCTGAACTCATTTCTCACCTAATAAGTTTAAATTTTGAATTGTGCAAATTTACTAAAGCAAGAAAGATTTTAAATGTTTTCTAGTGAGAACACAAACTTGAAATTGAAGGAGAGAGCGACACATCAGCAAACTTGCCAAAGAATGACACTCCCTTTTAATATATAGGTAGATAGATGACTTTTTCATGCTCTTATAATAATATAATCCTATTGTTATACAAAATTAATTTTAACTCGAAGAGTTTAATTTTATATTATCAGATGATTTTTAAATATAATTATAAAACTAATAAATTAAAAATCTACTCATAAAATAAAGTAATTATTTTATGAATACGTAGATACAAATCATTTACATATAGAAAATATAGCAATAAAGTATTAAAAATAAATATCGATGGTATGATTTTATTTTTTCAATCAATAGTAAAGAAATAAATCATTAATATATTTCCAAATGTACAATTAAATAATAAAGTATTGGAAAAAAATGACGAAGAAAACTAAATTATTATTGTTGTATTCAATTTAAAAAAGGAAAAAATGTTTCTGCAGTTACTGCAGATAAGTTATCTGCATTCAGCTTACCAAAAAAAAAGTTATCTGCATTTATTCCCAAAACAACGTCGTTTTGGTATTGAAATCTTAAAAAATTATAAATATAAAGACTATTATAACCCTGAAATAAATTAAAATTACAAAAATACCATGATTTTCGTCCCAAAACGACGTCGTATTGGGCTTACGACAGATAACTTATCTACAGTAACTGCAGAAAAAGCGAACCCTTTAAAAAAATTAAATGACGAAGAAAACTTAATATATAGAAAATTGAAGGAGAGACAGAAAATGGCGAAAGATTTTCTACGCAAGGATTTGTAACACCATTGGAGGGAAAGGATTCGAATAGTTTGCTTGAATAAAAAAAATCTCAACTTGTAAGAAGTAACGAAGTATGATTTCTTTTAGTTGTTCTACATAAACAATGTCAAAAAGAAAATTTTACGGAACAACGAGAGATGCTAACCGTGGAGAAAGATTTTCTACATAAAATTTTGTCATACCTTTTGCGAATTGGGGAGGCAGAAAATGGCGAAAGATTTTCCACAGAAGGATTTGTAACACCATTTGAGGGAAGGGATTCAAATATTCTACTTGAATAAAACAAAAAAAATATCGAATTATAAAAAAAATCGTAAAGAAGAATTTGTCACATTGGATTGAAAGGATTCAAATATTTTTGTTGCATAAAAATAAAATCCTATCAAGTTATAAGAATATTCATGTATGATTTATTGTTTGTTGTAAATGAATGACTAACGAAAAAAACTTACGTGATTGCAAAGATGCGGAATTTTGCAAGAGATCTTCTACCAAAGATTTTGCCGTACCATTTGATGGAAAGGAATCATTACAATTCTCCTTGCGCAAATTACATAGGATACCGTTAAAACGATCTTGGTTTCTTCCTTGTTGGGAAGAAGTATCTGTATATGAAATAAAAAGATATGTTAAAAAAAATTTGAAACGGGATCTGCATTTATACATGGAGAAAAATTTCTTTAACATTCCTGAACCTTATATACGTACCATTAGAAATATCACCAAGTACCCCCATTGGTTGATGTTCATGAACTAGGAAGAGAAAGATCATTGCCATAAGAGAAAATCAATTTTTTCAGAGCAAATCGATTCAAAGTTTTGATTTTTTAAGAGCAAATTGATGTTCATGAACCAAGAAGAGCAAATCGATTTTTTCAGAGCAACGATATGTTTCCGGGCAAGGAAGAACAAATCGATTTTGTTTCATAGGGTATTTTGGTCCGACAGAAATGTGAATCCTTTCCCATCGCGTGGGGAAAAAAATACCATGGACTGGATGATATTTAGAAATGGGAATTCGACGTGTTAAATAAAATGATGGGAACTTTTTTTCCTAGTAGTATTTGTACTCTTCTTCCTACCAAACATGAAAAAATAATTCTCCATTTCCACTTTATTAGGATTCCCAAAAAAATTCATGTACCAAACAACACCTATAAGTTATGTTTTAGACAATATCCTCCTCTATTTAATTTTTTTCTTTTGTTCTTTTTCTATCAACTATATACCAAAATAAAAAGTTTTATTTTTTATTTTTTTTCCACTTGTATCTAGTAATTAACATAACTAATAAATTATAATTCTTAAATACGAGTGAAATTAATATAAATTATAATTTTTAAATATAAGTGATCAAGTGTATATATATATATATATATGAGGCAGGATCCTTTGACACCAGTGTCAAAATTTAAATTTGACACCTCACTTGAGAGCCATTAGATCAAAAAAGATCAACGTCTATGATTTGCAAGCATGTGACATCGTTGATCTTTTTTGATCTAATGACTCTCAGGTGAGGTGTCAAATTTGAATTTTGACACTGGTGTCAAAGGATCCTGTTTCTATATGTATATATATATTTATATTTCTGCAATAACTTTAGATAAAGTTATTTACAGATACACTTTTATAATTATGTACTCTCGGAAATACATAGTTATAACATTAAAATTATTATTTTTTCTCTTTCCGCGTCAACATAGATTCTGAAAAGTGAATAAGGAGAGAAAAAAGAGTAACTTTAATGTTATAACTATGTACTACCGGAAGTACATAGTTATAAAAGGTAGATGTGTAAATAATCTTATCTAAGATGGCTGTAGAAATATTTATCTCATATATATATATATATATATATATATATATATATATATATATATATATATATATAGGGTTCATTTTTTCTAAAGTTACTTTAGACAACTTTATCTAATGTTTGCCGAAACGACATCATTTTGGGGCAGAAATCATGGTGTATTTGTAATTTTAATTTATTTCAGGGTGTATTTGTAATTTTAATTTATTTCAGGGTTATAATAGTCTTTATCATTTTAATTTTTTAATTTTTCAACCTCAAAACGACGTCGTTTTGGTGAACATTAGACAAAATTGTCTAAAGTAACATTAAATATTTTTTTCCTACATATATATATATATGGTAAAATTATTTCTGCAGCCGCTTTACGTTCAACAATGACAAGTTTATGGTTATGATTCTCTACATTTAATGCTTTCATCCTTTGTATGATTATGATTCCTCGCATTTAATGTAAACCCATATATATATATATATATATATATATATATATATATATATATATATGGGTTTAGTGAGTATCAAGTGACTTGATGTAAATTAGGTCCAATGCACTATATTCTCCCGCGAGAATATAGTGCACAAAATTTTTTGCCTATATTCTCCTGAGAGAACACCTGCAGAACACCATTGTAATGTTTTTGCACTATATTCTCGCGGGAGAATATAGTCAAAATTCACTCACTGGACAGTCCAGTGACTAAATTTTAGATTTTTCGTATATATATATATATATATATATATATATATATATATATATATATATATATATACGAGCACTATTATTGTAACTCAATAACAGATATGGAAAAGCCGTTAATGTAGAAATATATAGAACAGTAACCAAAATGTCACTATTCACCAAGTTTTTTACTTAAATGTCACGCGAACAGTGTTATTTTCCAATCTGCCACGGGGGCAAGTTCGCTACCCGGTGTAGCGAACTCGATTTTCTGACGTATCACGTTTCTAGTGGACACCAAGTTCGCTACCCAATGTAGCGAACTCCATATTTTGTTTTTTAACTTGGTACTTGTTATCCATTAGAGATGTGACACGTCAGCAAACCGAATTCGCTACAACAGGTAGCGAACTTGCCCCCATGGCAGATTGGAAAATAAGCGTGGCATTTAAGTAAAAAACTTGGAGAACAGTGGTATTTTGGTCGGTGTTCCGAAATATGTTATCATCGCCCAAAAATAAATAAATATAATTTTACCCCCGTTTTTTTTTTTTTCAGTACCTTTTTAATTAACACTCTCAAGTCTTAACCCAAAGAAAAAAAAAAAAAAGGAAAAGAAAGCTGTGTCAATTTATCTCCCTTTTCATACGTGGCAGCCTTCAAGAACTATCTCCCCGTAGCACCTACCTACACAACACAACCTTAGCTTTTGGTTTCATTCCAAGTTTCAAACTTTCTGAAAAATTTGAGTTTTGTTGTCAAAGATTTGCAGTACCCACAAACCCAACTGCGCAAAAAATGAAATTGTAGAAGCATATTTGTAAAACATGAAAGGGTTAGGTCCTCATACACCTTTGGTTACTAGGGGGAAGCCTCCTCCTTTGTTGGCAGTTGTGGATGCATTACCATTACCATGCTGTACTTATTCCCCTAGAACCACCATCTTATCCCCATGTAAGTTCTTTCCAATATTTATGATGTTTTCTTGCTACCCATTTAAATTTTATCATCTTGGTTTTACTTGGATTGAAATTTTATGCAGGAAGTTATGATTTTATCTTTCATTTTAAAGTTGACATAGTTCTTTTTCTTTTCTTTTTTTGGTAAGCAATAATTGAATGTGTGCTTTTTTGTGTTGCCAAGATTCTGTTCAGATGGATATCCAATTCAAGTGGGTCAAATCCAAAATTTACCTTTTGGGTGGTTTATAAGAATATTATGTTGTTTGAAGTGGCTGTTATAACAAATTTAAGATTTTGTGCGATGATTGTTACTTTTTTTTATAATTGTAGTTTGAAGTAACGTTTTCTTGTCCTCTGGAGTTCAATGCTATTCTTTTTGGTAGCTAATACTGGTGAGATAAATGCATAGTCTAAGTTGTTGTGCTAATCATATGTTTACCACTGATTTTGATCCTAGATATCTGAATCTAATCTTATCTATGGGTTTTATGCACTCACATTTATTGGGCAATGGTTAGCTACTTAGCTTTTTATATAAACTATGTTATTGTTGGTACTTATGTTTGGTGTCTTACTGAGTGACATTATGCCTAAACTATATATAGTTAGATGCAGACAGAAATCGAGGTTGAGCTTTGCCCGTGGTACAATTCAAGCCCAAGCATCTAATGTTAGCATTGAACCTGGAGATTATGGAAGCAATAATGAGAAAGACAGCCAGAATGTCTTTGGAAGAAGTCCTATCAATGACAGTTCATCTAAAATGTGAGTTCCATTTGATTGATTTCATTGGTCGTGCAAGAGATGGCCATTTTCACCTTTAAAGGTGCTAGTGAGATGACAAGTGGCATTAGGAACTTGTCAGTATATGAATTTTGGTCTTAACACTGTTTTCGTTGGCATATTGGCTTCTTTTATGATTGTGATCTCCCTTGAAATCCCATTTTTTACACGGGAAATTGTAGCAAACTTGCCATATAAGATATGCATACTTATAAAATTCAGTAATGTGGGAAATTCCATGATTTTACTCTTTTGTTCTTATAGTTTCCTTCATAGTTATACTATTAATGTTGCTATTAAATTTGAAGCTTTTGATACACTAGGCGACAAGCCTCAGTCCTAATCCTAACCTTAAAATCTGAAGTTGGCCACATGAGCTGTGTCAGTAAACCTGGTTCCTCTCTCGACCTCAATTATTGGTTATCAGTCTGACCCTTCGATTCTTTTTATCCTTTTTTTTCTCTCTCTTATTATAGTGTTTTTACTCTTGCATACCGGGGCATGGGCACTTTATGTTGTTTTTGTTCATCCTCTCCTTTATATTGGATTGAATTAAAGCTTGAGTGTGTGCAAATATTTTTCTCCATGCAATATAACGCATATCATATGCCTGCTACTGGCTTAGCCTGATGAATCTATGCAAGTGCAAAAATATATTCCTCCTGCAGCTTAAATATCAAAACTACATACTATAAAAGGGAATAATTTGAAGAGAAAATTGGCAATATTCATATAACAGTTGGAAATAATAAAGGATTAGTTGTTTAGCCCCCCCCCCCCCCCACCCCCCTTCCCAAACTCTTTTAACAATATCACACATGTGGAATGCATTCAAAGAGAAAAGCTCTTCACTGCAATATATTCAGCAGATTATCATGTGGAATGTCATTCAATTATTTTCAATTGATTTTTTTTTAAGTATACTATTATCATTCATGGTTGGGATGAAGGTGATGTTGATGTTGATAACTTTGTCATTCATGGCTCTATTACAATTCTAATGTAAATCTATTTTATGGTTTGGCAGTGTTCAACCTCCTAATCGGATACCTTATCCTATCTCTATAGCTTTGGTGGTGTTTGGATGTGCTCTTGTGTTTTCACTGATAGCCTTTTTGAAAGGGGGACCTTCATCAATTCTAGCAGCAATTGCAAAATCAGGGTTTACTGCTGCATTTACATTAATATTTGTTTCTGAGATTGGGGACAAGGTAATTTACTATTTTTTCTGATATTTTTTATTGTTTCTTGTTGTTTACATTCTTAACTTCTTATTTTATCCTTGTTTTTAATAAACTATTATTTCTTAGAGGCTTAACATAAATTTAGGCATAAATAAGTTCCTAGTGATTCGAAAAATTGAGTTTGTCAAGGACATCTTGACTAAAATCTTAAGATGTTAGGTAGAGGCTCAAGAATGGTTTTTTATTTCTAATACGCCCCTCACGTAAGAGCTTTTTATGCTTGAATCATGGACAATGTACATGTTCATTTTACCTTGTGTTGATTATTAACTTAATTATGAAGAATAAGGGTGATAAATATCCAACTCTTGTCCATTTGGTCATGGTTGTGATATCATGTCAAGAATCAACACTAGTGAAAGCTTAAGCTTTTAAGTGGAGACGGATAGGAAGCTATCTACTGAAGAGGTAAAAGCAGGAACAAAAACACAGCAAAATGGAGAGAAACCCTGGATATTTATTACTGGTTCAGTGAAACAGAATACAGAAACAGTGATATAGCAACATGATAATGAAAGGAAATAAGGAAAATAAGGAAAAAATGCCAAAATGAAAAGATAATTCCCAAGTGTTTGAGAGACTCGGGCACTCCCAATCCCAAATCCTATTTTGAATTCCAGCTTCCTTACACTTCACATTCTCACCACTATATATCCTCATTGACCTTCTTACATAACTAACCCATACAACAATTACAACAAATTTCATTGAAGATTCCCTTCTCTCTCTCTCTCTCCCCTATCAGATTAGTTATGCCTTTGCCACCTGATTGCAATGATTCAATCCCCTGTTAAACCACTTTACATACACCCTCATGGGTCTATAAGAGATTCAATTATGGGATTTATATTTCTAACATAATTTAGTTGAAATAGATGGAACTTACCTAAGATCTTGGTGATAACAACAGATGTTCAACCAAAATCACCTTAACATGTCAAAGATCAAACCGTTGTCAGCTTGTATAAGTGTATTTTATACTTGGAATTGGAAGTGGCTTTAGCTTGTGGTTAGTTGAAAGTGATCAATAACGTGTGAATATAAAGTAGTGCTAAGGGATTAACAAGACAATAATTTATGCAGAAGACCATATTCTTTCCTGCAGAGAAGGGGATGTTTTGGAATAAAATATTCTAAAGATAAAATTCTGCTGGGGCACTCCAAAGATGCCAATCTTCTAGAGCGCACTTGGTGAGGGACACCACCTTGTGCTCTCCAAAAGACACTGGGTAATGCCCTCCCTAGAGAAGCAACACTCCTTTCCTCTATGGAACTGCACTTTCATTGGATTTGTATGCTCTTAAGTTAAGGATTACTCAAGTGAGCTTTTTAAATCACCTTTCCTCCTTTTGTCCTTCTCTCCTTCTCATCCACCATGAAAATCATCATTTCTCTACTGCTCCCTCCACCATCACCCTCAAAATCTTGTCATTACCTCTTGCAACCCCCAACCAGAACGCTACAGTATACATAGTCTCCATCAGAGCTGCTACTTACCGCTTCTTGGGAAGCCCTTTGGGCTCTCAGCCAGAACTTCTTATACTATCCTACCCAAGTATTCTTCATGGGTGCCTTACGTGTCCTCCCTACTGACAACTGGGAACACATCCTTGGTGCATAACCCACTTAGACACCTTTTCCTCCAAAATAGGGGTTGCGGTTTCTACAGCTAACAAATTAAAATTTAATAAACAACTATAAGAATATTTACGTTTTCAGTTATCTTTAAAATATCAACTGGGATTACAATTTTAGAATGTTACTTTGTTTTGTGTTTAATCCTGCCTGGGATGTGTTTTATGTGATTTGAGTTTTGTAATGCGAAAATCTTATACCGAAAAATGCATGTACTATGGTAGAGTTGGTCAGGTTTATTTTTTATACATTGCTTTATGCATATATGTATTCATGGACCTAAAGTTAGCCTTTTATGTTTTGACCAGACATTCTTTATTGCTGCACTCTTGGCAATGCAATATGAGAAGGGATTGGTAAGTCTTCTGATTTCTTTTCTCAACAATTGTCTCCCTCCTCCCTCTTCCCCTGTTGTCTCTGGGATTCAATCCCATTACTGATGTGATGATATCTAGTTTTCTTTGTTTTGGTTTTAATTTTGTTAGCTTATAGACTTCCTGATTTTTAGTTCCTCGTTATGGTTTATTTCCTCCCTCTTGTACTTTAAGGACTAATGAATTCCTGTATTTACTGTATATGTCACGTGATTCTCTACTGTGCTATGTAGTTAAGGCTTGATGTACAAGAAATGACAAGAATGCAGCCTCTTATTTTACTAGTGTTAGAATTTTTAATACATTTGTAAATTGTCAACTGAATATATTAGCTTGCTGTAAATTAGTTGTTAGAATAGGAAATAACTAGAAAAGAAGATTTGTATATAATTGAATTGTATAATATTTGTACAAGAGTTCTCTATTTAAAGAGACTAAAAAAACCTAATGGGCTAAGCCCAAATACACTTATAGAGCATTCTAACTATTACAAAATAATAATAAAATAATTCTATTATTTACAATACTCCCCCTCAAGCTGAGGAATGGATATTTATCATTCCCAACTTGGTAGTAAGTTCTTGAAATCTATCATTAGGAAGACCCTTGGTTAAGACATTAGCCAATTGACGACCAGAAAGAATATATGGAGTAGTGATCAGTCCACTGTCTAGTTTCTCTTTAATGAAGTGGCGATCAATCTCAATATATTTGGTTTGATCGTGTTGAACTGGATTGTGGGCTATACAAATAGCTGACTTGTTATCACAAAGTAACTTCATAGATCCTTCATATCTCACCTTGAGATCATCTAGAATGATTTTCAGCCATAATAACTCACAGATACCTTGAGCCATAGCTTGAAATTCTGGTTCTGCACTTGATCTAGCAACCACATTTTGCTTTTCACTTCTCCATGTTATAAGATTTCCACAGAGAAACATACAATAGCCCGAAGTAGACCGTCGGTCAGTCACAGATCCAGCATAATCGGCGTCTGTATAAACTTCTAAGGATAAGTTTCCTCCTCTCTGGAACAATAGTCCTCTACCTGGTGTGCCTTTCAGATATTGGAGAATCCTGTCCACAGCTCGCAAGTGTTTCTCCCTCGGATCATGCATAAATTGACTAACAACACTAACTGCATAAGCTAGATCAGGTCTAGTATGAGCTAGATATATTAATCTTCCCACTATTCGTTGATATTGTCCTTTGTCAACTAGAGAGCTCTCATTTTCACTTTCTAGTCTGTGATTCTGCTCAATCAGAGTACTGGAAGATTTACACCCAAGTTTTCCTGCTTCTTTAAGGAGGTTAAGAACATACTTCCTTTGACAAATAAATATCCCTTTCTTTGAATGAGCAACTTCTATCCCAAGAAAATATCTCAGTTTTCCAAGATCTTTAACTTCAAATTCAGTAGTCAATCTTTTTTTCAGAGCACATTTCTCACCTATATCATCCCCTGTTATAATAATGTCATCAACATAAACTAGAAGGATAGTGGTCTTACCTTCCTTAGAATGTTTAAAGAAAAGTGTATGATTCCCTTGGCTTTGCTTGTATGCCAATGAAAGCATGACTTTGGTAAATCTTCCAAACCAAGCACGCGTGGATTGCTTCAAACCATACAACGCCTTCTTTAACCTGCAAACTTTATTATCTCTATTTGTAGAGTTTAATCCTGGTGGAATCTCCATGTAAACCTCCTCTTCTAATTCACCATTGAGGAAAACATTTTTCACATCAAATTGGTTCAAATCCCAGCTAAAACGAGCAGCGAGGGACAATAGAACTCTTACAGTGTTCATTTTGGCCACTGGAGCAAATGTTTCTTCGTAATCAATGCCATAGGTCTGTGTGTATCCCTTGGCTACCAATCGAGCTTTATACCTCTCAAGAGTCCCATCAGAATTATACTTCGGAGTATACACTCATCTGCACCCTACTGTCCTTTTTCCATTTGGTCTGCCAACAACTTCCCATGTATTATTCTTCTCCAATGCATTCATCTCCTCATACATGGCTTGGACCCAATTATCATCCTTTAATGCTTCATGTACTGATTTCGGGATTGAAATGGAGTCAAGTGCTGTAATAAAACTTCTATGCTGCAGAGAAAGATTCTTAGAGGAGACAAAATGAGAAATAGGGTGTTGGTACAAGACCTTTTCCCTTTTCGTACAGCAATGGGTAAGTCATCAGAATTAATATCAGGCTCAAGAATAAAAGAAGTAGTGTGTTTAGTACTTACCAGCGGTTCAGGCGATTGCAGTTGCTGATGGGGTAGTGTGGGTTCTTTGGTAGAATAGTGCAGGTGTCCCAGCTTTGCGTACTTTCCGTCTATCAATAGGAGGCATGTCACTTGAGGAATCAGATGAATTTTCAACCTCAGCAATTAAGTCTTCCTTCTCATTGTCATGTCGTGTAACTACTGGAGTAGAAGATGTAGGTAACAGAAAGGGAGACTCAAACTCAAAGAAAATGGATTAAGCTTCTACACTATTCACCCCCTGAAGCTGAGGGTGTAGAAAGTAAGACTCAGATTCATGGAAGCTAACATCCATAGAGACAAAAAATTTACGACTTGGAGGGTGGTAACATTTGTATCCTTTCTTGTTGGGAGCATAACCAAGGAAGACACACTTAAGGGCTCTAGGCTCTAATTTACTCCGATGTTGTTTATGGATATGGACGAAGGCAACACATCCAAAGATACGAGACTAGAAACTTTGCATAATTGGAACAGAAGGAAAAAAAGAGGTCATGAGATCAACAGGACTTACATGTCCAAGGACTCTGGAAGGCAAGCGGTTGATCAAATAGACTGCAGTTAATAAGGCTTCTCCCCAGTAAGAGTTGGGTACAGATGTTTGAAATAATAATGCTCTTGTGACTTCAAGCAAATGTCGATTTTTTCTTTCAGCAACCCCATTCTGTTGAGGGGTATCCTCGCATGTGAGCTCATGAATCATACCCTTATCTGAAACGAATTGTGACAGACGCTGGTTGACATACTCCGTACCATTATCAGATCTTAATCTCTTAATACTTTTACCAAACTGTGTCTCGGTCATTTGATAAAATCGAATAAACAATTCTGGTACTTCTGATTTGTCTTTCATCAAGAATATCCATGTCACCCGAGTGCAATCATCAATAAAAGAAACAAACCACCTAGCACCTGAAATATTATTTACCTTAGACGGGCCCCAAACATCTTAATGGACAAGAGTAAATGGCTCAATGCTCTTTATTGAACTTGAAGGAAAGGGCACACGATGGTGTTTCGCAAGCTCACAAACATCACAATGGAAGGAGTCAATTGCCTGATCCTTAAACAAAGAAGGAAACATTGACTTCAATAAGCCAAATGACGGGTGCCCCAGGCGTTTGTGATGAAGCAAAATCTGTGAGAATGAAGTAGACGGGTGATGACTCATTAATAATTGATTCCCGGTATCCCTTGTAGCATGCTCTGGAATGAGATAGTACAACCCACCTTGCTCCTTAGCAACTCCAACCGTCCTCCCCGTGGTGATATCCTGAATAACACAATGGGTAGGAAAAAAGGTGACAACACAATTCATGTCAGTTGTAAGCTTATAAATGGAGATAAGATTGGTAGAGAGCTGAGGAACATAAAGAACATTCTTTAAAAATAAAGAAGGTTGAATTTGAATGTTACAAGAACCCACAACTGATTTGTGGGATCCATCAGCTACAGCTATAGTACGGATACCACTAGTAGGGTGATATGAAAGAAAAGAATCAGCTAGACAGGTTATATGATCAGTTGCATCAGAATCCATAATCCATGAATTTTTTAAATGAGTGCAAGATGAAAGAAGAGATGTAGGGTGTGTGATCTTACCAAACATAGTTGATCAGAAAAATAAAATAAATTTTTCCTTCTTTTTTTCGGTGAACAGTACCCGGTGAACAATGCGTGATGAACAGTGTCGCGTGAACAGTACCGGTGAACAGTGCGCGCGATGAACAATACGTTTTTTTTTTCTTGAGTTGTTCCGGTCGTCTGATGAAAAAGAAACCTCCGTAGAATGATAGATCTAAGAAAACAGAGTGAAAAAAGGGTCCTCACAGTCCAAAAGGTCCTCAGAAATTTTTTTCCGGCGGCGGCGAGAGGCAAAAGGGTTTAGTTTTTAGAGGTAGTAGATTTGCGGAAGCAGAGCCCTCAGAATCGAGAGCTCTGATACCAACTAGAAAAGAAGATTTGTATATAATTGAATTGTATAATATTTGTACAATAGTTCTCTATTTAAAGAGACTAAAAAAACCTAATGGGCTAAGCTCAAATACACTTATAGAGTATTCTAACTATTACAAAATAATAATAAAATAATTCTATTATTTACAATAAAATATAATATGTATAGATTTGCTTTAGATTTGTATAGATTACTTTCCTATTTGTAAATATTCTTTTCTTATTTAGGATTTGGATTAGGTCTGGGCTTCTCACTTAAGCCCATTAGGGTCTTTATATATTGTAACTCTTTGTATAAGTTTAATACACAACATATTATTTTATATTCAAGTTGGTATCAGAGCTCTTTTGTTCTGGGGACCCTCGCTTTCGCTTAAAACCTCGTTTTCGCTTTAAAACCTAAGCCCACTGCTTAGGAGTTTTCTTTTCGTTGCCGCGTGTCCTTCCGGCAAGCCATCTAGGGCTGTAAGCTCCTTCAGATTAATTTCCGTACATGTCAGCATCTCCGACCGCCACCAGAACCACCGTCCGTCACTGTTTTGGCCACCAGAGACCTTTTCCGGCGATTTTTTGAACCAGCACACCTTCCCAAATTAATTTCTTTACCTATCAGCTCCCTAATTGATTGTACCCATATTATTACTTTGACCAAGCTGTGTTTAGTTTGTTGGTGATCAGTTCTTGATTGCTGGCCTGATTTTTAGGAATAGACAAGTGCCTGAATTTTAGGAACAGTGGCAGAATCTGTTCCTGA